AAAACTTTGAGTGGATGACATCTTTTGGTGGAAGCGCCAAAACTGTTGGAAGTGGCCCTCTTCTGTTGGATGTGCCTCAACATCTTTTGGTAAAAGTGCCAAAACTGTTGGAAGTGGGCCCACTTCTGTTGGATGTGCCTCAACATCTTTTGGTAAAAGTGCCAAAACTGTTGGAAGTGGGCCCTTCTTCTGTTGGATGTGCCTCAACATCTTTTGGTAAAAGTGCCAAAACTGTTGGAAGTGGACCCTCTTCTGTTGGATGTTGGTTAACATCTTTTGGTAAACGTGAAAAACTATTTGTTGGGAAACAACACCAAAAGATGTAAAGTGTTAAAATTGAGTATATTAAGTAAAAATATCCCTTTCCCTTGCAGGATATTAGTTCTTTTTCTTCCTTGAACTGCTTGTCTTTACGGCAGCAGCTTTCGTTTTGTTCAACAGTGTATGCTGCAAAAGCCATTCATATAAATTGGGGCCGGGCGCCGGCTTTATCCCACCTTTCAGCAGTGACTGCACATGGCCGGTATCGTAGGCATTCAGCCATGCCCGTACATGTCCGCCGGCCTGGTAATAAGAAATTTTTATGGAGGGGGTCAGCTTGCAGATATTACCCAATACTTCTGCATGTTCGGTGGTTTGAACGGGCACCGACCTGTCGTCTACAGAATGAAAAGCCCAGATAGGCAGGTGTGCTGCACCAATGATAGGGCAAAAATTACTGTCTGTGATGTCCTGCGTGCCGCAAACCGGCGCTGCCGCTGCAATGCTACGGGTTAACCCGGCTGTATGAGTTATGGCCGCCCATACGCCACCGCCACCCAGGCTTAAGCCGGTAACATAAATGCGGTTGGTATCTATGTCAAGATTGTTTTTAGCATAGTTGATCATTTCTTTTACATAGAAGGGCTGCCAGGCGCCATACTGTTTGCTGAGTTGGGGCGACAGCACCACGAAAGAGGAAGTTTGTTGATTGACAGTAAACTGCATGGAAGCACCTGCTGCACACAGGCGTGGTATACCATTAGTGGCAACAGCCTGAATTTCCGGGGGCCGGCCGCTACCCCGCTCATCTGTACCGTGCAGGAAGATGATCAATGGGTGGTGCTGGCTGCCGTAGTTGGCTGGCCTGAATTCAAGGAATCCAATAATCCCCTCCGGTGAAGCCCTGTAAGGAATGCGTTTGGCTACCTGCTGTGCACTGCCCTGCAATGTTAAAAATAACAGCAGCAGGTTGATGCAGGTGCGTGGTATTCTTTGCATGCCTTACTTTTTTACCGCTATCACTTTCTGCTGGCGGTTGCTTTCATAAGCGGCTTCAATTACACGTATAATGTTCAGGCCTTCTTCGGCTGTCACCTGTAAAGGAGCTCCTTCGCGGATGGCTTTGTACAGCCCATCGTAAAAATCGCCGTAGTTGCCTTTAAGGCTGGGTACATATTCACGGATGATCTGCCCGTCTTTTTCTGTATGCAGCAGTCCTCTTTCACTTTCTGGCTCTACACCCCATTCGGGGCCGCCGGGCACTTTGTGTGCCTGCAGCATTACTTCCTGCACATCCGTGCGGGCTTTAATGAATGAGCCTTTGGTACCATGAAAAGCATAGGAAGGCAGTGCTTCCCTTACCACATAGCTTGATTTCACCCGTACACGGAGGTTGGGGTAATAGAGCAGCAGCTCCATATAGTCGTCTACCTTAGACAGTTTGCGCATGATGGCAATGTCTGCAAACACGGCGTCTGGCATACCAAAAAACTGGATGACCTGGTCTATCAGGTGAGAACCCAGGTCGTACAACAATCCTGTGCCCGGGCCTGGTACTTCCTTGTGCAGTTTGGGGCCGGGTTCTTCTTTAAAACGGTCGTAATGTATTTCGGCCTCTACTATCTGGCCCAGCAAGTGTTCATCTACTATTTTCTTTACGGTGCGGTAATCGCTGTCGAACCGGCGGTTCTGGTACACCGTTATCAGTCTGTTGCATTGTCTGGCCAGTGTTATTAGCTCTTCCGCTTCCGGAACGGTTACGGTAAAAGGCTTTTCTACCAGCACATGTTTACCTGCCAGCAGGGCTTTTTTGGTGTATTCGTAATGCGTGGCATTGGGGGTATTAATAACCACCAGTTCAATGGAATCATCTTCCAGTATGGCTTCCAGCGTGCGGACTGTTTTTACACCGGGATAGCTGGCTTCGGCCAGGTTCTTGGTTCTCTCCCACACGGCATATAATTCAAAACCGGGGTTCACTGCAATAAAAGGCGCATGAAATACCCAGCCACTCATGCCAAATGAGCATAGGGCTGTTCTGATGGGTTGTTTTGTTGAAGGCATGCCCAAAATTAATGGAGCGCGGTTGTATTTCAATAGCAGCTGGCGAAAGAGGAAGATTTTTAATAAGAAGCACTGTTGATCGGCTATTTGTACAGGTGTTGCCCGGGATGCAGCGGCGTACTGCCTGGCAAAACATCGTGGCGACAGGAAATCCTCCCTTTAGCCATTCACCTGCTGCGTAACGAAAGCTTTTTCGATTGTCATTCCGACCTAAGGAGGGATCTCCGCAATTACGAATTGCAGGAGGTATGCACCAGGCGCAGGTTTCTTCAGGCGAAGTACTGGCAGTTTTACTTTTGGGTTAAGTCTCTGAGTTCCCTCGTTCCTCGGGATGACAGGCTTCCGGTTATGATCTTTGTCTTTAGTAAGTATCCGGCCTGCCGGTTTTGAAATCAAATTCCAGACTAAGGTTTCTTCACCGGCCATTCAAATGCTTTTGAAACAATTTTTTTATACCAATCAGTATCTGCCGGTACACTATTGCTGAAAATATTATCCACGGTATACTCCTTCGCCTCCTTATCGCTCAATTGCTTAGTCCAGGCCGCACGGCCCACAATGCTGCTTCCTTCACCGGTATCCTTATATTCTGCGTAAAATGCAGTCTGTTCATTTGCCGGGTTGCTCCAGTTGTCCCAGCCCGTGGCCGCAAGTTGCTTCGGCAGGCGGCAGCGCATAAAAACTGTTTTGGCATAGGCCCGCCATGGACGACCCAGGAACAATTTATTTAAAGAT